ATATCTCTAAATAGTGAAGATTATGTGATTATTAAAAGTGCTAATTTGTTAAGTGAAACATTTAAAATATATTGCAATTTGAGCTCCATTGTTTCTTAGCAAATAGATTTTCAAAACAGAACAGACGCTGATCTCTGGGTGGCCTCTAAAAGGCAGCATCAGGCAGTAATTCTTCTGATAAAAATTGTCATTCCTTTAAGAGTGTTTATTGTGCTAGCTGCAGATGTAATGCTGGATTCCACACTGAGCAAGTAGCACCCGTTCTCTGTCACATTGTCTTAATATCACTAAAAATAATACTTTGTGCTTCACAGTATGTCTTCTGGGGTTTTAAAAGGCTTTGATGTTGACAGCCAGCTCCTTTGTCAGGCGAGGTGAGTGTTGTTTTCTCCGCTTAACAGGCGGTATGGTATACCTTTTCTTGGGGATGATTGTATATGTGTTAAGTGTTTGAGATGAGTTGATGAGTGTTCTAGCAATATCAGTAGGGATACTCACATGTGATATGGATGGATTAAAAGTACAAAATATTTTTTAAAGATTTATTTATTTATTTGAAAGTCAGAGATACACAGAGAGAGGAGAGGCAGAGAGAGAGAGAGGCAGGAGCTTCTTCCAGGTCTCCCATGTGGGTGCAGGGGCCCAAGGACTTGGGCCATCTTCTACTGCTTTCCCAGGCCATAGCAGAGAGCTGGACCAGAAGTGGAGCAGCCGAGCCTTGAACCAGCGCCCATATGGGATGCTGGTGCTTCAGGCCAGGGCATTAATTCGCTGTGCCACAGCGCCAGCCCCAAAGTACAAAATATTTCAAACCAAATGTGCATCAGTATCTGGGTTAATAGGAGCATCAGGAAAGTATCTGCAGGGAGTTAACATCCCGGTAAGCTTTGCCAGCATCTCCTATTGGTTTTGGTTATTAATGTTTTCTGAGTCTTTTTCAAAGTGTCAGATAAAAGGATCTGGGATACCCTCTTCCAAAACCAAACTCCTACAGGGAAACTTTTGTTGGAATGGACACTAACTGGTGGTGCCTTGGGTTTGACAGTGACTTCTTTTTTTTTTTTCCTTTTTTTACAGGCAGAGTGGACAGTGAGAGAGAGAGAGAGAGACAGAGAGAAAGGTCTTCCTTTGCTGTTGGTTCACCCTCCAATGGCCGTCGCAGCCTGCGCGCTGTGGCCAGCGCACCGTGCTGATCCGAAGCCAGGAGCCAGGTGCTTCTCCTTGTCTCCCATGGGGTGCAGGGCCCAAGCACTTGGGCCATCCTCCACTGCACTCCTGGGCCAAGCAGAGAGCTGGCCTGGAAGAGGGGCAACCGGGACAGAATCCAGCGCCCTGACTGGGGCTAGAACCCAGTGTGCCGGCGCCACTAGGCGGAGGATTAGCCTATTGGGCCGCGGCGCCGGCGACAGTGACTTCTATCAAACCCAAGCTGTCTTGAATTGTCTGAGACCGAATCTTTCCTCTAAAATGTGGGATTCGATTCTGATATTTGAGATAGGTCCCCCTGTAAGAGTCAAACTTGTTACACAACATTGCACATCTCTGATATCCAGGAATAGTTGTTTCAGTAAGATGGATGCCAAAACAGTCTCATGCAACTTTATAAAGAAATAAACAGTAAAAGAGATCATGATATTGATAACAGGTTCTGCCAACCACATGTTCTATTTTTAGGAGGAGTCATTATCCAAAAAGTCTCTTGCTGAGTTGGTACCAAATAGTTTAAAGATTGTGTTGCATATGCACACACTGGATTATCATACTCTGAGAGAGATGATTTGACCCCCTGCGATAACCAGAGAAGAAGGGCTCCTGTCCTCAAACCCTGTGAGGGAGACCATGCCAAGATCAGAATGACTTACAGGAAGCCACAACCAACTGAAGAAGAACCAGGAATGGTGTGGCCAAAGCCCCCAGACAGTCAAAAATCTGAAAACATCCCTCTGGAAAACCATCTCTGGAGGTAGGTTGACCCAAACTACATCGCCTGGCACTCCAGAAGAAGCGGTTCTATCTTTTAGATTTGATTTAGAGCCAGTCCTTCTTAAAATGTGCACTGAGTCCACACATGTATTTGGAACACTCATTATTACAAGCTGTAATGCTCTGCACTGTGGAGAAAAGTCCTAGAAGATACATCCTGCACTCTTTAAAAGAACTGTTTACCTAGTGAGCTATTACTGCAAATAGAAACTCACACAGATTCAAGCAAATTCAAGCAATGATAGCACTTCAGTCAACACTATAGAAGGTTGGATTTTTATTTTTCTCCATTGAGGGCTTGCTGTCTTGGGTGACCTGACATAGACTGTGCCTACTTTTTCAGTGTCCTCCATGGCATAGAGTGGACAGCTGAGATTGTAACTGACTGACAGCCCTGAGATGTGTACCAGTGTAAACTTTTGTGTACCAAATGCAAACCTCTGTGCTGGGGAACAGAATGCATGTGCAGAACTGGCAGAGGAGCTAGTTCTACTGGGAAGGAGATGGGACTAGCCTGGACAAAGCAAGCTGAAGCCCCAACTTCCAGGTCTTGCTGCAAGGACTGGACACAAAGAGCTCACGGAGTGATGGAGATGGAAGCCGTGGAGCAGGGGAAGAGTGGGTGGGCTGGGCCTTGAAGGAGGCAGGCCCAATAGCAAATCTAACAACTAAGTCCAAATTAAGCAATCTGCCCTTGTCACTCCCTTGAAAGCTCTACAAGAACATGCAAGCATCCAAGCATAGCGAATGGCCCCAAGGGAAGGACAGTGTGTGTTGAAAAAAAATTTGAAAGTTGATGCAACTTGATAAGGGTGACCTTGAGTGATATTTATGAGCATAATTTATTATTTGATAACATGAGCTCTGATGGTGCCTTTGGAGCACTGAGGGGCCTAAGACTGAAGCAGAAAAATGACCCTGCTGTCTGAGATACTGTGTTAAGGGCAAGGCCATGTCCACCAGGAGGGAGAAAGAAGAAAGTTCCTGGGTTTCCCCAAAGTGACGTGTGAAGAATGCTGAGGAATGAGGTGAATGGAAAGGAGCCTAGAGAGGAGGCTGTCTGGATGGAGAAAACCCTCTGGCAGGGAGGCCAGGGGACTGCATTGCATCTGTTTATGCTACCATGTAGACATCACGGCAGCATTTTAAAATCTATCATCTTTCCCTTTTTTGCACTGGTTGGTGAGAAGTTTAAAGCTGAACATTTATCTCATGAGTGGAAAATATGCAAGCACAATATGATAATATTTTTAATATTTATTTTATGTATTTGAGAGAGTGAAAGAGAGAGAGATTTTCTATTCACTGGTTCATCCCCCAAATGGCCTCAACAGCCAGATCTGGGCCAGGCTGAAGCCAGGAGCCAGCAACTCCAATCTAGTCTCTTACATGGGGAGCATGGCCCATGTACTTGGGCCATTGTCTATTGCCTTCCCAAGTACATTAGCAAGGAGCTGGATCCCACGTGGGGCAAACAGGACTCCAACCAGTGCTCCTATGTGGGATGCAGGCATCACAAGCAGTGGCTTAACTTGATGCACCACAACACCAGCTTCACATAATGCAATGATATTCTTATGGCAGACTGGGATTTTACAAAAAAGGCCACTGTTGGACCAGAGGCAACTGGCTGAGAGATAGGCATTCAAGGAATGTCCATCTTGGGAGGTTCCAAATTAAGAAAGTGCCTATTAAATGCCATGTATATTATCATATCTTAAGTCTCATATTGGTCCATATTTTTGTAGTATTCTTTCCTCATAACATGGCTTCCTTGATATCTTTCATTTCTCTTCACATAGTCATATTTTAACTGTAAATGTCTCAGTTGTTCTTTAGTAAAATGTAAAGCATGGATTATTTTTTAAAAGGCTTAATTCACTCTATTTTTCTTTTGTAAAAATCATATGTCACAGCCACAGCTGGGGCCAGGGTTTGCTGCACAAACACTCTGGTGTGGGTCTTTACAAGATGGTCAGTGAATCCCTGATAGGCAGACCTGAAGAACACAGCCTCTTCCTAGCAATTGGGAGTCAGAGAGCTAGTTGTAGGTCTTGGAGATGGCATCAAAAGTAGCCTTGGTAAAATTACCCAGGGTGGCAGGGCAGCCCCTGGTTGCGGTGGAGCCATCATCAAAACCAGCCATCAGCAGCAAATTTTTGGGCTCAGGTACCAAGGCAATACCAGTGCCTCTGTGGGTGGGGATGAGGTGCACCAGCATAGAGCCTCAGGGGTCTCCTTGTGAGGTTTGCCCAATCTTGTTCTCCCAGTAGCCTTTTCACACTGGCTCAATGGAGAGCTTGACCAGGATAGTGGCCACTCAGATGGTGGTGGCTACCTCCTTGGAGCACTTCACACCCAGGATGATGTGGCCACAAATGCCTTGCACCTGGTCAGCTGGCTGGCCCACACAAGACTTTGCACCTGCACAATCTTCCAAGACCTCATCCTTGAGGGATGCCCCCAGGAAAAAGTCAGTGATCTCAGCCTCCATGGTGGGCGGGGAGAAGACTCAGATCTCCAGGGACTTGATCTTCATGTCCTTGACCAGGAGGCCCAGCTCGGTGACAGGGAGCCCCTCCTGGCCCTTGTCTTTGCCACCTAGAGCTCCGTGGCCTCGGCCTCAGTGGTGATCGCTGGTTGCTGCTTCGAAAGCCTTCCAGGAAGCCACCAGGGCCTCTCATTCCAGGGCCTCCGGGCCCTGTTGCATTTGGTGTTCCTTGGGAGAAGCCGTGGAGTACAGATATAAAACACATGTCTCTTACATCTGGGTGGTTACTGCCTGCTGGGCACAGTGATGCTAGTGCTGTCAGCCCGCAGCAGTCATGACGTCTGTTTCCAGGCAAGGAGGGGACCTCTGTTCTTTTAAAGACTGGATGACATCACTTCCAGTAAGGCACTCACTGATGCCAGACACCTGGAAGGCAGACTTTGCACTATCTGGAGTTGGAGTTCCTCTATTTAAGGCTCACACAGGTTGACTCCTATTATAATTTCCCTTTGAGGGGGTAGGAAGCCAAGGAGTTCAGGGCTCACCCTAATAAGAGACTCAACAGCTAAAGCTGCAGTGGTCCCCGGCTTCCCAGCTATTATCCAGAGTTCTACCCTCTGGAGATCTCTTGGCAGTGCTCCTGGGTTCAATGCAGATGTGGTTTTCATGCTGGTCCCACGATCTCCCCCAGAGCTCTGTCCTCCCTGTGCTCTGTCCTTGGACCCCAGTTTGGGGGCAGAGAAATGCAGGGGATGGAGACTGGCTGGATCCAGGAGTGTTTGTGGGAAGCAAGTAGGGTGGGGGTGAGGGTTCTGCTCAGTAGGGCTGGTCTAGGGAAACCCCTACCAGCCCCTACAGCTCCCGGGAGACTTAGGGGGCGCGCAGATTATGCCCCTGAGGAACAGAGTAGGCGGTTTTTCGATTCCACGGCTTCCACCCCACACAGAACAGTCCGTGGCTTTTAGACCAGATCTGCGCAAATTTTTAGAGTCAACTCTGCACCTCCCCGCGTCTAGCGAAGCCTCTTGGCGGCGGCAGACTCTTCACTGCTCCGCCTTTGGGTTCTGTCGCTGTCCTGGACGCGGGTGCTCCCCGGGGCCGGCCACAGGCTCCTTGGGACAAGTCTGCGCGCGCTGGGTCCCCAAGCTCGCTGCGAGCCACGCAAGAGCGCTCTTTGCCAGGACGCGGCAGGGCGCGGAGTTTTCCCAGCCCGCCACCCGTGGCGTCTGATTCCCTGCGCCCCGACCGCAGCGGAAGAAGTCGGTCGGCGGGGACTCGCGGTTCCCTCTGGGAAAGGGTCTTTTTGCCTCCGCTGCGGTTCAGATCTCTGTGGGGTGCGCAGACAGCAAAGACCTGAACTACCCAAGGTATGTCGCTTTACGGAGTTTCTCTTGTTAAAAAATGCAGCTCTGCTGGCGTGTTTCTGAAAACACAATGATGCAGTTCTATGTATGCATGTAAAAATACAAGCTATTTTGTGCTGATGGCAAGGGAGTGCTTTCTGGTGATGATGCGAACATCATTTAGTTGGGAGACGCGAAATGAGTTGTCAAAACTCATAGCGGCTCTACCCTGTAGCCTATTGCATTTTGTGTACTTTGGGTGAGGATTTAAGAAAATAAAAGCGAGTAATCGTGCACGTTACAACGTGCTACTGCATACCCACATATCGGACAGCCTCCAGTAGATGCGGCTGCAGATAAGCCTGTTGGTAGCATCTCAGTGCCAACTGCAGGTTATTGGTTTCAGTTCCACGCAGTCGGGAGAGTGGGCGAAAAGGCAGCTGACATCACTCGGGGCGGGGCCACAAGTCCTCAGAAAAGCGAGTGGGACATGATCCGCATCAGCCGCCGCGGGAACATCCTCGCCATGAGCGGCTACAACAGCTCCGAGCTCCAGGTGGTCTGCAGCCCCGGGCAGCTGTTCCTGCAGCCTCTCTGGGACCGCCTGAAGACCTGGGAGGCCGTCCTGCAATCGCCCTTCTTCCCGGTCATCTTCTCCATCTTCACCTACGTGGGCTTCTGCCTGCCCTTCGTGGTGCTGGACTTCCTGTGCCCCTGGCTGCCGGCTCTGCGTCGCTACAAGATCCACCCCGACTTCTCGCCGTCCCCGCGACAGCTGCTGCCCTGCCTGGGGCAGACGCTCTACCAGCACTTGGTGTTCGTGTTCCCGGTGTCGCTGCTGCACTGGGCGCGCAGCCCGGCGCACCTACCCCTCGAGCCCCCCGAGCTGCTCCAGCTGGTGCGTCACGTCGTGCTCTGCTTGCTGCTCTTCGACACCGAGTTTTTCGCGTGGCACGTGCTGCACCACAAGGTGCCCTGGCTGTACCGCACCTTCCACAAGGTGCACCACAGCAACTCGTCCCCCTTCGCGCTGGCCACGCAGTACATGAGCGTCTGGGAGCTGTTTTCCTTGGGCTTCTTTGACATAGCGAATGTCACGCTGCTCGGGTGCCACCCGCTCACCGTGTTGATCTTTCACGTGGTCAACATCTGGCTGTCGGTGGAGGACCACTCCGGCTATGACTTCCCTTGGTCGACCCACAGACTGGTGCCTTTTGGCTGGTACGGTGGCGTGGCGCACCACGACCTGCATCACTCACAGTTTAATTGCAACTTCGCTCCCTACTTCACACACTGGGACAAAATCCTGGGGACCCTGCGTCTTGCAGCCCCCCGAGGGCAATGGTCTGAGGGCAGTGGGTGCCCCTCAGATACGGGACAGCTGTGCATTCCACACTTGAATCGGAAGAAACACACCTGAGCTATTTTTTTTTTTAAAGCAAGTAACTTATTAGCTGATAAAAACTGTTACAGATAAAATCTGATGTATTTTTGCTATCTGACAAAGTAATTTATATACTGTTTGTATATTAAGACAGTTGTTTTCTTTGTATCAAATTCTAGCTCACTTCAATAGTGTGGATTCCTAAAGTGAACACCCATCCTGGCCCATTCAAGCCACCTCTAAGGGGATTTGTTTGCAGTATGAGGAATTTCCTATGTTGAAAGTGCCCTAGAACTTGGTTGAGTGTATTTTTATGAAGGATGCGACTTCTGACTTCATATTCCTGCTGGACAGTGACCAAGATGATAGCACCTTTTCTATTTGTTCATAGAATTGTATATTTATGTTGAAAGAAATATAATTTGTACTTAAAAAAAAGTTGTGACTCCTGATGCACTGGCATTTTGATGAAACTGAAAAAGGAGGGGAGACTTGGAGGGCAGGTGTTTTGCAGTTTCCTCAGCCTGGCCAGGGACAGAGAGGAGTCTGGGGTGGGCTGTTTTGCTTTGTGTGGGGTTGCTTGTAGGAGGGGAAGCAGGAGAAATAGTCTGTTTGTTTAGTCTAGAGATTTTACAGAGGAACAAACTCAGTTATTCTCAATGCTTTTCTGCCAATTGCTGCTTAACAGGTCAATGCTATAATGCTGGGAAATATTTGATTATTTGGTTTGGGGTGTGTTGGGGGATTTATAGAATCGGAGGAGTGCCTTGCTTTGCTAAACTGGGAAGTCAAGTATTTGCACAGAGTAGCTGAGAGAAACAGAAAAGGGTTTTGAGTAAGCCCCCGTTTTCATGAAATCATCCTCAGCTAGTGCAAATGACCACAATGACCATGCTTTTAAAAGCTGAAGGTTTTGTATATTCTGTTGCCTTAATTAAAACACACATGAAGAGTGCACAGCCCTTTCTTAAAGAAAGATAAAGCAAAATTTGGCCCTGAATCTCTGGCTTCTCATCTGTAAAAGGAGATGGTGTCCCAGATGTTCTTGTAGATTACTTGTGACAGTAAGTGTCCCACATACCTGTCACCCTTCAAGCACCCCATCTGCTGCTGCCCGACTGTTATAGTATTAACTCTGGAATGTAATTCATATTTTGCTGAGTTAAAAATCAAGATAATTTATACAAACACTTCAAAAACAGAAACTTTGCCTGTAATTCTAGGCTCATTATATATGAACCAAACAATCTTTTTTGGAAGGTGAAAAAAATCCATTGGAAAACCTGGTCTCCATGGTCTGCCAGCTTCGGAGACTTCTGAGACATGGGCTTAAGTCTTCCACATGATTGTCAGGAGGTAGCCAGAATGTGGCTGCTGAGAAGATTTTTTCATGTTCCCCCCAACATGTGCATTTCCTTGGCTGCTAGACTGAATTTACCTCCTCTACTGTCCACAGCAGGACAAGGCTGGGAACTAAAGATGCCTAAAAAGTGAAATCCACAGAAAGAGGAAGTGAGATGTGAGGGGAAAATACTGCTGGAGGTGGTATAAGAAGGTACTTCAAAGTATCATAGAAAAACAGAATTAAAAGGTAACTTTGTTCTGATGCAAAAAGGTTTTTCTAAGTCATGCATAGTTCTTTTTTTGGTAATAGACATTTTCCATGAATTTTTTGAAGACATCGTGTATGCATGGACTTAAAAATTGTTTCACTCAACTTTTATTCCACTCTCCATGAACTTTTTGAAGCCCTCTTATATTACTATCATGATGAATGTAAAATTTGTAAAAGTGTCATGTTGCCCCACCATCCAAGGGAATGTTAGATTTGGGGCAAGTTTTACACATGGAAAGTATCTGGACTTAGAAATAGAAACACTGTCTCAGGGTGGGTGTTGTGACCCAGCAGATTAAACAGCTGCTTGGGACATCTGCATTCCATATTGGAGTGCTGTTTCTAGTCTCACTAACTTTATGCTTCTGATCCAGCTTCTTGGTAATGCATCCTGGGAGACAGCAGGTGATGGTGCAAGTGCTTGGGACCCTGCCACCCATGTAGGAGACCCAGATGGAGTTCCTAGCTCCTGGCTTCAGCCTGGCCCAGCTCTGGCTCTGTGGACATTTGAGGAATGAGTCAGTAGATGAAAGATCTCTCTGTCTCTCCCTCTTTCTTTCTGTAACTTTGCCTTCAAATAAATAAATAAATCTTTTTTAAAGGTAATTCTATCAAAATCAGATGTCTTGCAGTTCTTTATGGCTTGGTAAATGGGATCGGAGGAAAAGAGAGCAAACGCAATTTTTCAGATGTATTAAGAGCCTAATAATAATAATAATAATAATAATAATAAAGAAATTGCTCCTATGGGAATGAACTATTCACACATGGTTTCACTCACTCTTGGCAATAGTCCTAAGGGATGCATAATACTAATAATAACAATTATTATTATTATCCTCCTTCCCTGTTATGAATGGAAGATTGGTGCTGCACAGGTGATGTGTCCTTTTCTGGGTAATAAAATTCTAGACCCCAAAATTAGGTTTCACAGTGTGTACTATACGTCTCTTATGATAGTGCTTATGGTAATTTGCACAACTGCCAGAGATACAAACCCTGCAACACAGATAGGCTCACCCTACTGTTTCTCTTTGGCCACTGCCCCTAACAAACAAGGATCCCTGGCCCACGATGAGTTCTTAGATTTAGGTGTGCCTGGAGTCTAGGCCTCTGTGGGGTAGGGAGCAGGGGAGGTAGACCTAGGGCAGTGTAAGCAGGACCTGGGAAGGTGACCGGCAGGCCAAGCAATGCATTTTCTGCATCCCTCATTGCCCTGGCCTGAAAGCCAAAGTCAGGTGACCTGGGAACCTGGGTTCTGGAACCGAATAGCTGGGTGACTTTGGACAAGTTACTTAACTTCTGTGTTCCTCAGCTTCCTCATCTACAAAGTGAGGGTGATGACAGCAGCTCTTTAACAGAGTCGCTGTGTGTCAAGGGCTAGATGGGCTGGAAGACTTGGCTGCAGTCTTGTGTGCTAAGACTGGTGCTGTGTGACATGGGGACCAAGACTGCCATCCAGGATGACAGCTGTCTGTCCACACGCAGGCCTCAGCTCTTCCCTCTTACAGGGAACCTCAAAAGGCCTTCCATTATAGGCTGCTGGCCTCATCATCCTTTCAAAGCAAATGTTGTGGAAAGACACGGAAGTCTGTGTTTGTCTCCTTCTACTTCCTTTGCCTCTGAGTCATCCCACCCCCACTTCTTCCTGAAACTTCTGCTCTGGGCTCACCACTCTTCTACCTTCCTCATGATCAAATCCAGAGAATTTTTCCCTCTTGGTTTTCCATCTCTTTGGTTTTTCTTTTTTTTTCTTTTGGTGTTTGTTTTTGTTAACCGCCTCATGTTGGAATGTGGTTCTTGTTGATTTTAGTGAAGTTTTCTTTTCCTTCCTAATTTTCCAGCTGTTGTTTCTCTCTTCAGTGGCTCCTCTTTCACCACAACAGGAAGGCAAGCTCAAAGTGCTTCTCTTTTCAATTAAAAATTATAGAGGGTATATAATAAATAGCTCTCTTACCATCTCCTAACATACTCTGTAAATCTCCTATTGCATTGCTTTCTAGTACACACATATATGAATATGTATGCACACCACAGATATGTACGTGTATACAATAATGTGTATGTATATGTGCTACATATATATGCACACACATGTATGTGCACCTTGCACATACACATTCTATATTCACACAACATGCTACATATACACATATTTATGTATAAACACAATGCATATGAGTACAAACATGCTACCTATATGCACACTACAATGTACACACTATATATCCCCCTCATTTTCTCTCTCGACATATAACACACATGCACAGTAGCATTTTTGTCCCATTTACTATTTATCTGAGCCTCTAGTACTGTGCTCAGTTCTTGATAAACATTAGTTCAATGTTGCATGAGTCCTGGAAGTACCAGAAACACATCTTTGCCATTCATCGTGTCTCTCTCTGCCCATTCCCTCTTCTTCCTCTACAACCTCCTTCTCTCTCCATCTCAGCTTCCCACCATGGCCATACTCACAGCTTGTGGTCTCTGGGTCTCTGTTTTAGAGAACAGTGCAGTCTCCTGGGAGACAGAGTCAGGAAAGCAAATGCAGCTAATGTAATGTGGTCCGTATCATAGCTATTAAAAGGTTTTTTAAGGAGTCCAGAGAAAGATGGATCATTTGAGTCACATCATAAGGGATTTGCATGGGATTCACTAGACAGGGTTTAGAGCATACTTGGCAGAACGAATAGCACTGACAAAATCAGACAGGGATGGAAGAGTTTGACATGCTTGAAACATAGCAGGAAGTTCAGAGCACCAAATGAGCAAAGAAGGAAACACAAGGCATAAGCCTAATGAGAGAACTGAGACTTTGGTTTGGGTCCCTGCTATAAGCATTCTCGTCTTGTCTCTTGAAAAGCCACTAAGCCTGCATAGAACTGTTTGCTCACTTGCCTGTGTAACAGGATTTTTGAGACTGTATGTAACATTGCTATGAAGCCAATGTTAGGACTTGTTATTATTTGTTGGTTTATAATGAATAGATGGATGGTCTTTTAAATAAAAACCAGACTTGACAATGGTGAGAGCAAAGAGAGTGCTTTGCAAATTTTAAGCGAAGGAGTGTTGTAATTGGATCTGGTCTAAGAAAAAAAACTAGCAGCAGAAAATAGCGATAGTGATTGCAGCTAAGAGACCAGAACCAATTCTGCTTGAATTCCAACCCTAGCTCCACCACTTAACTTTGTGACCTTGAGCAAATAATTGCATCTCTCTAGGCTCAATTTCCTCATCTGTACAAAGAGGCTGGTAGGAACGACCCTTAGAATTGTGCTGAGGAATAAGACAACGTTAGGGAGCTTGGTTTCACATAGAGCAAGCACCCTCTAAACAGTAACACTTCTGTTACCAGTTCTGACAAAAGTGTGCTGATGACAGATGAAGGACAAAGAGACTGTCCCAAGACAAGTAGAGAGGGGATAGAGAGGAATAGATTTTACTGTTACAAAAGTAATGCATGCTCATGGGAAGATTCCAAACTTAGAGAACAGGAGAAAGTAAAAAGAAATGAATAACTTCCAGTCACATTTAATTAACTGATTTCCAATACAGATAGCATCACTCCACCCTTTATGATACCAAACCAAAAGCCTCTCCCTCACCCCTTCCTCTTTAGCTGGTGTACATAAATAAACAGTTTCTAAAAGTAAAAAATGAAAAAAGCTAAGCAAATTAGTGTGAATAGAAGTTCTTTAGATAAAGGCCCCAGGGCATTCTCTCCTTTTAAATATTTGTGGCTTTTTTCTTCTTTTTCTTTTTTGATTCTTCCTGATCACTGTGCAAAACAGGAATAGATGCCAAGTTTCCCTTTCCTGCAAGGCTCCCTGGGGAGCTTCCCTGATGGGGATTCTTTCAAGGATCTTACATATAAATGTCTCGGAGGTGCAGCCACTACCCTTGGCACCTGATGAACCTCAGACTGAGGCCCCATGCTCTCTGTTTTGGGAGGAAATCATTGACTGGCTCTGAACATCACTTTTCTCCTCTGTGAAACGAGTGCAGTTTGAGGTCACAATAACTGGCCTTGCCTGCTTCCTAGGCAGCTGGGAAGATGGCGTGTGACGGAGCAGAGGGTGCTGAGTGGATGAGCACAGGCTCTGCGTGCCCAGCGTGACGAGGTAGACCTCAGGCGTCCGGACGGGAGGAAGGAAGGGGCTCAGCGCCCCTCCATCTGTGCCATGACAGTGCCCCGCCTTCCTCCCTCTACTGGCGTCTCTCGGCCCCATCTTAGCTTCCTCTCCTCGGCCAGCCATCTCTCAGGAGCAGCTAGGGGTGGACTTCCTGCCAGGGTCAGCAGTGGGGCACCCCCAAGGGCAGAGCTGGAGGACGGAAGGGAGGGTGGCACCTGCCTGTGCTTGCCTGGGGAGGGTTCCTTCTCTGTGCGTAGCGTGGCTCCATGCCAGGAGCTGCCGCCTACTCCTAAGCAGAATTTGGCAACTCAGGGCTGGAGATGATCACTAACTGGAAGTCACATCCCACTCACAGCATGAGTTCCCCCAGCGGTGGGTTTAATGTGCCTCAGCCCCAGCACTGCTGAGGAGACAGCGCCCATGCTGACATCCTGCAGTACGGAGAGCCTGTGAGAGCTAAGGCCGAAGCATCCCTTTGCAGTTTCCCCAGTGTATACATAAGGAAACTGAGGCTCAGGCACAGAACATGATGTGGCCTGCATCACACAGTTGTGCCAGAACCCAAAGACCTGTGCTCTTCCTGACCCTCTCTGCTGCCCACCCCCATCCTTTCGGGGTCTCAGAGCCTTTGGGGGCTGGCTCTAGGTGAGTATCAGATGTACTGTTATGGGTCACCAGCAGATACTGTTGTAGAGGTTGGCATTCAGCCTAGTGGTTAAGATACCACCAGCTAACATGCCCACATTCTTTATTGGAGTGTCTGGGTTTGATTCTGGACTCTGGCTCTGGCTCTTGACTCCGGCTTCTTGCTACAGCCGACCCTGAGAGACACCAGTGGGGACTCGGGTTAAGTGGGTTCCTGCCATCTACACAGGTGACCTGGATTGAGTCCCTAGCTCCTGGCTGCAGCTTGGCCCAGACCTGGCCATTGAGGGCACTGGAGTAATGAACCTGTAGATAAGAGAACTCTCTCTCTCTCTCTCTCTCCCCCTTTCTATGTGTGTGTTTCTCAAATTAATTACTTTTCAAAATCCATTGGTGGGGTGATATTCTTAAAAAGAAAATAAATTGTGTAATCTGTACTTTTTGCTAACCTTTGCATAAGGAAAATATGAACAACTTTGCTGACTTGCAGAAATCTGAGTGAAATGTTTATTCTAATTTTTTTTAAGGTCTGTCCTACCATGTGAGCAACTGATGTGAACTAAGGGGAGGGGAGATGATTGGTACAGTGGTTAAGCTGCTGCTCGGATCCCTGCATTCTATGTGCTTGGATTGGAGTCTTATCCACTCTCCACATCAGCCTCCTGCTAATGCAAACCCCAGGAGGCATCAGATAATGGCTCAAGTAACTAGGTCCTTGCCACCTATGTGGGAGACCTGGACTGAGTTTCAGGCTCCTTTCTTTGGCCTGGCTCAGCCCAGTTGTTGTAGGCCTTTGGAGAATAAATCAGAGGATGGAAGCTATCTCTCTCTGTCTCTCT